GGAAACGACGGGGGAGGAGGAGGGAGGAAACGACGGAGGAGGAGGGAGGGAAACGACGGGGGGAGGAGGAGGGAGGGAAACGACGGGGGAGCAGGAGGAGGGCGGCGGAGGAGGGCGGGGGAGGAGGGCGGAGGAGGAAGGCGGGGGCGGAGGGCGGCGGAGGAAGGCGGAGGAGGAAGGCGGAGGAGGAATGCGGAGGAGGAATGCGGAGAAGGAGGAAGAAGAGGAAGGCGGAGGAGGCGGAGGAGGAAGAGGAGGAGGAGGAGGAGCAGGAGGAGGAGTGGGAGGAGGAGGACCAGAACACCGTCCTCCAGGAAACCCGGAAAAAAACCCAAAACGCCCAAGAACCTCAAACCTAGATCCTCGACGACAGCGGCCATTGAGGCGACGCCTACGCCGACGCCGACGCCGACGCCGCTGACGCCGAAAACACTGACGCTGACATCGTCGCCGACCCATTTCTGGGCATCCGGGAACCTCCGAAGACCTGGGAACGCCGGAAGCCCAAAACGGGCCAAAACAAATCGGTTCTCTTCGATCCCCGATCTACGAGCCTCCTCCGCCTCCTCCGTCCTCCTCCTCCTCCGCCGCCTTCTCCTCCTCCTCCTCCTCATCCTCCTCATCCTCTTTCCTCCTCCTCCTCCTCCTCCTCCTCCTCCTCCTCCCACTCCTCTTCCATATCCTCCTCCTCTTCATCCTCCTCCTTTTCCTCCTCCTCCCCATCGATTGCTGCTAGAATACATCGCCTGTATTGAATTTCTCTCAGCAGGAAGCAGCTGCTCTTGATTATGTTTTCCTGTCAAAGATGATGACGATGAGCAAATGGATCAGGGTCTGCGCAGAAGGTTGAGCTGTGTCCTACATTCTGGCTTGTTCAACGCCACGCCCTGTTCGAATATCCCGTCGACAGACAGGATTTAAGTGCCGTGTTCTGTACGAATTGCTGCACAGATTTGAACACACCGAGCCGCACTCGCAAAGGCCTGGATTTCTCGTGTCCATGCCGTGAGGGGGTTGGTAAAACGGTGGCGGACAATACCCACCACTTTGAGAACCACCGCCGCTCACAGAGTGCTGAGAAGAATGAATGTGCCATTGCTTCCTGCCCGCTGGGCAATTCCACGTCATGCTGCTGGCTTCGCGCCCCCATGTCCGGCCCGATGGGCCTGTCCTGTGCCGTGCTGTTGGCCTCGCGCCACTATATCTGGCCCGCCTGGCCAGTCTCCTACAGTCGGGGCCGATTGGAGAGGACGCGCGAGAGGACATGAGACCCTTCCGAGGGCCGCACTGCCATAGAAACGTAAGAAGGTATGGGTCACGAAGCTCAGGACACAAGGGTGCCCTCGATTTGGCAGGGTCGACCTACTAAAATCAGTCTCGACTGTTTTGGACGCCCGAAATGGGTACGGACAAATGGGTACAATGCCCAACAACAAATGTTGTCCCAAACCAACAGCGGCCGCCGTTGGGCAGGCGGCCTTCTGTCTCGCATGGACACAGGCCGCGGCGGTGTGGACAGCGAATCCTGTTCAAAATGAACAGGAACTGCTGTCGGGCATTGTACCCATTCTTTCCGTACCCATTCCCAGACATGCGACATCCTGATTTTTTCAAGACGGCGTCCCTGGAAGTCCAGACCCTTTCACCGGGGCCGGTGTTCCTGAGTCGTTTTTTGACGGTCCCAGGGGCCGGCGAGGGCCCCCAGGGGTCGAAAGTAGCGAAAAGCCGCCCGCCCTGATGTTTTTACGACGCGATCATGTCTGGGGTCCGGGCGTCCAGAACTGTGCCCATCACTGTCGGCTTCGCGCCGGCCCCCGGCAAAGGGACGGACCCCCTCGTCGGCTCCGCGGTCTCGGCGGCCAGGCCCTCCCGAGCCGGGGGGGGGGGCGCAGCCTGCACGGGTGCCTCCCGCGGGTTGCCCGCGGGGCCGCGGCCTGTCTCCCCCCGTTTACACAGTCACGCCACCTGCATCGCAGGTCGGGGTTGGGCTCCTTTTAGGGGGCCGCATGCGAACCCTACCCCCGCCCCCCACGATTTCGGAGGGGGAGGGTGGGGTTCACTCCGCTCGGGAGCTCCCGAGCGAAGTGAACCCCACCCTCCCCCTCAGAAATCCTGGGGCTCCTTGCGGGGACGGAGAGGATGGCTGGCGTCGGCGATCGGCACTGGCACTCCTGCCAACCGTGCAAGCGCAAACAGTGTTCGATGAACGTGGGCGGCAACAGCTGCACGTGCCATCGCGCGCGATTGGAAGTGGAGCGCTGCGTGGAGGCGCCTGCTTCCATGCTGGGGGGGATTGCAAAACGCGCGTGTCCCAGCTGGCAAAAGTCGCCTGCTGGCCCCCCCCCCTGCGTCGGCAGCGGCGGTGAGTCTGTCGAAGCCACTGTAGGTCCCCAGCCGCCCTCTGCATCCACGAACTGCTGCGCGCGCGGGCCGTGCGAGACGCATGCGCAACCAGGCTGCGCAGCGCAGGCGCGCCGACATGGAGTGGGCGACCGAGCAGACGAAGACGATGGACGCGCGAGAAAGTGCGCAGGTCCGCCCGTTCAACGAGGAGGAGGAGGAGGAGGAGGAGGAGGAGGAGGAGGAGGAGGAGGAGGAGGAGGAGGACGAGGAGGACGAGGAGGAGGAGGAGGAGGAGGAGGAGGAGGAGGAGGAGGAGGAAAGAGGAGGAGGAGGAGGAGGAGGAGGAGGAGGAAAGAGGAGGAGGAAAGAGGAGGAGGAGGACGAGGAGGTGGAGGCCACGCGGTCCTCGGCCCTCTGGGTCGGCGTGTTCGCCCCGGCGTGGCGCGCGAAGTATCTGCCGGTAGCTGTTGGCCATGATGCGCTGCGTGCGCGCGTGCTGGGCATCAGTGAGAGTACAGTCGGGGCGTTGACCGTCCCACAAGCACGAGAAACATCGGGGCACCCTCCCCGAACCGACCTCGATCCTGTACCTCGGCTCGTCACTGTGAGGCACCACCAGCGAACGAATCGACGGTTCCGCTTGCGGACGACGGGGATGGCCTGCTGCTGGCAATCGCGGGTCCACACTTCCTGCTCCCTTCTCTCTAGACGAGCGCGCTCCGCTACTCGCAAAGTAGCTGCTCGCAAATAGCCTGGATCCGCCACAGGTGATCTACAGTCGGGGCGTTTGACCTCAGGAACCCTGAATAAGGAACGAGGCCCCTTTTTCCATAAGTTAAACTTCGATTTCCCCATCGAAAACATAAGGAGAACCTGAGGCAAGCTGCGAAACAATTCAGGAACACGGAGCCCCTCCCCAACGAAAAGGGCTCCTTCTTCAGGGCCCCGACTGTAGGCCATGTTCCAGATTTGACAAAACTGTCCGGAGAAAAATCGTGCGCCTGTGAAGTGCAGGAGCTGCTGCTCGGGGGCTGTGCTCGGCGGAGGCGAAGATGCGCCGTCGCAAATGCTGACCAGAAGAGCGAATCGACATGTCGCTATGAGCGAGTTCTGGCCCTATGGAGCCACCCTCGTCTAACTGGGTGCCGAGGTGGGGATGCTGCCGAAACGCTGTCAGAATAAATTCTCCCAACGTGTCCGATCGCGTGGCGAATCTTCGAGGGCCCTGCGTGGGCAGAGGCGGGCGGCCACAGCGCGGCATCAGAATCGCTGTCGCCGACGGCGGCCTGCTCGGCAGCGCGGCGAGCGGCTTCTGCGCCCCCTGCGCGGCGACCTCCGCGGCGCCGAGGTCCCCATCGCCGTCGCGGCTGGCGCGCCGCAGCTCGGCGCCCGCCCGCCCGTCGGCGCGAAGTCGAGGGGGGGGGCTGGGCGAGCAGGGCGCCCGCGGAAGGCCTGCACGCGGCGGGCGCGGCCTGCCCTCCGCTGCTCCTGCGAGACCTCGGACTTCCTGAGCTCGGGCATCGCCGTCGTAGCCGCTTCCGCTGCGGCCTGCGCGATCTTCTCATGCTCCGCGGTCTTGGCTTCCGTCGCGTTGGTGGTCTCCGTCTGGGGCGCGTCGACTTTGGTCTGGAACTGCTGCGTGCCGTCGGGGAGCTGGGAGTTTGACCTCTGCAGTGCTGCCAAACTGGCTGGCATGGAGGTCTCGCTGGCCTCTCTAGATGCGGCTTCGGGTGCCCCATCCAGGTGGTATGACCTGCGCATGGGGCAAGGTAGGCGGCCTCGTAGAGAATGCCTGGGTTGCTGTCGCATTTAACGGGGCCTGGGGCGGAGTGACCTGCGCGAAAGGCGAAGCCGCGCGCGCATGTGACTCCCCCCTCTGCGACGCTGCCAAAAACGGAGCGAGCGGTGAAGGCGTGGCGACACGTAGACCAGGTCGAAAGCTGGATGGAGCAGCTTCCTGTCCAAGCATGGAGGCATGGCCATCATCATCATCTTGCTGGGCCTGGCTGCAGAGGATGATGAGCATAGTCATCGTCATCTCGCTGGAAGCATGGAGGCATGGGCCTGGCTGCAGAGGATTCTAGTCCTCGGGTTCCTCAAAGTGTTCCACTTGCTGCTCCGCCTGAAATAGTTCATCATGAAGTTCCGCGCATTGAATGTCATCGTCTTCTGGACATGCTGCCGAGCTCGTGCATCCATGAGCCTCCTGCCGCAGCGCGTCACGAAAAGCTTCTGCTCAGCCACCCTGGCCTGCGAAGAGCGAGAGTGCATCATCTGGTACCGGACAACGTTGCACTTGTCATGAAGGTTGTCAATCTGGGCGCTGTCCAATCCCAGTTCCACTGCGCAGTGGATCTGCCTCTCCAGCGACTCCATGGTAGCGCTGAGGGCCTTGCGATAGTCCCCGAGTAGCTTGGGGTCCGACGGCGGCGGCTTCCATCGACGGTGGCCCATGGCATACTCGGGCGTCGCTGGCATGATGGGAACTAGGTCGGGGCCGGCTTCTGCTGTCTGCGTCCCAGACTTGGGCTCGGAGCGCCCCGGCACCTGTGCTGAGGCCGCTGTGGATCGCGACGCCGCTGGGCGTGACAGTGACCGATCGCGACGCCGACGTCCTCCT